GTGAGTGCATTATGGATGAGAGGTGTCTCCGGGAGATATCGTCCGCTCGCACGAAAGCGGAGCGTAAGGAAAGACGGAAGGAAGGATGAAGGGGATGGGGGAGGAGGGGGTAAGACGAGGTAAGGAGGGAAGGGGGACAAGGAGAGGAGAGGATGAAAGAATGGACAGGTGAGGAAGGAACTGAATGGGGGGTGAGGAAAGGCAGAGAAAGGTAAGGAAGGATGGAGGGGGAGGAGAGGTGAGGAAGGATGAGAGAAAAAAAGGGGTTAGGAAAGGTGAAGTGAGTAGGAGAGGCGAGGATACAGGCAAGGAAGCAGGGGTGGAAGTTAAGGAGTGTGGAGGATGGACAGGTCGGGAGGAGGAGACAAAAGACGGGAGAAAAGGTAAAAAGGGATAGTTAAGAGGAAGGGGAGAAGAGGGGTGAGACTGAGGAGGAAGGGGAGAGAAGTGAGGAAGGAGTCAAGGAGCAGGGGTGAAGTCCAATTTTTTATCGTGCATCAAATCGACCTCCGACATGTTCTAACTAAAACGAACTGTATAAACTAAGAGTACGTCATCGTATCGGAAACGATCTGCATCCACACACGTCATATATATATATATATATAAATGGACATATATTCTATCATCTTAAGTGTTTTGGCGATGAATTACTTCGCAGCACACAGACCTACATCAGAGTATCAGTGTTTTCAGGCGTCCACACAGTGCTGGATCAGATCTGTACTCCGATGAATTCGTGGGAGCTGGAGGCACCAGATCATTCCGTCTCTGGAGCAGTTTTCAGTTAGATTAGTGTGAACGAACATTGCATCCACAATGAAAATGATTCAAATATTAACTAGTGTGGATGGGGCCTAAGCGAGTGTGACGTCACCCACAGCTCCACTCAAATGAGTCAAATGAAGTCAATGGAGCCAGAATCGGAGAAAAGCCACCTGGAGCACTTCCTGTTTAGAACGCTATAGCTAGACAGCAAGGGAAAGCAACACAGACAATAAGGGCTGTGATTGGTCCTCTCTACATCCTGCTCTACAAACATACAAACCTGCTTCATTTTGTAAACACGAACACCATTTTTAAATCCTCGCCTCCTAGAGTTGTGGTGGTGAATTACTTGGTGGTGCTTAGACCTCGACACAGATCCGTAAATCAAAAACAACGGCGACAATTGAGTCGACGCAGAACTATAAAACGGCCTTAAGCAGCAATGAGGAGGAAGGAAGCTGAAGGAAAGAAGAGGAGTGAAGTGGGAGGAGGTAAACGTGAAAGGGAACGAGGTCTGAAATGAACCTGGTGAGGACATAACACTATCTCTCCTGTGATAGTACAGCGGGTATAAGAGCGCCCCCGAGCCCTCCAGGAGTGACGGGTTTAGAATCTCTGCACACAGCCTGTACTGTATTAACATCGAGCCTCATTCATTTTCATGAGGCAGATAAAAAACATGAATTTTGACCTTTTCAGGGCACAGAAACAAGTAGTTGTTTATGTGTTTGTTCTTTTATCTGCTCCCAGCTCCATCTAAGTTCACTTCAGTCTGTCTCATTCTCAGTATATGGACAGGTTATGTCTTATGTGAAAGCTCAGAACCTCCAGAATTCCCTCCCTGAGCCGCAGCTTAACAATAAATCAGAATTACATTTGTTATCAGTAAAAGTTGTATTTGTTTACGTATCTGGGAACACGGACAAGTTTATGAAATGAGTTTATGAAAAAGGAGTGTGGTTTGAAAATGATGAATGGAATGTGCCAAAACGTTCCTTTCTGAGCTGATCTGAGTTATGTCTAAGCTGTAAATGAAACCCACAGACTGTACGCTCTCATCTGTATTTAAAAATACTAGTATAACTGTTAGTGCTCATGATGGAGCTGGTACTGCAGGGGAGGGCAATTCTTTATTTCTGTGGGACCTCATGAGAAACAAAAAATATTGTGCAGGGTCAGGCAGAAATGCTTAACTCAATTCTGTGTAACATGAAGTGTATTTCTTTATAAAAAGCAGTAAATAGCATTGTTTTGACAAGCTGCTCAGGCATTATAAGTATTACAAGTACATGTTGTGACTAAGCAATGAAAAAGTGAGGCTGCCTTATAAAATTTTAATGACATATTAAAAAACACCCGTGAAATTAAAGCAATGCAGCTTTAGTCAATGCAATTGTAAATGATGTTAAATGGGTCAGAGTCAAAGGGCCGTATGTGGCTCTGGAGCTGTACAATGTCCAGATCTGTGCTGCGGAGTGAATGTATGATCTTCATATACAGTGTTCTTCAGATCCACATGTGACCTCATTCTAAACAACAGCTCCTTTTACACTCCGACGTCACATACTCTGCAGCAGTGTGGTCAGATGATCACATGACATGAATAAACATAATGAATAACACCATTCAAGTATGGCTAGTAGAATACTATGTGATTGCTGATTAAAGTAAAAATAAATATGATAATACTCCATCTTTCAGCTCAGTTTCTTCTGCTGCTGTTACGTACTTTTCTGGTTGGGGGTTTGTCAGCTGCGTCGAGCTGAGTCCAAAGGCAAAGCTCTTGAGTCCGTCTACGGCAACTTTGCACATAGTGTGTTGAGAAACAAATATTTCCCTTCCTCCGTTTTCCAAAATAACATTGTGAACCTAGCATCATTTTCCAAAAAGTTTTCATTTCCATCAACTCGCATAAATACAACATCGAGCGCCGTCATAACTACACCGAGCCTCTGGGTGGCACCTGGATTAGATTCAAGTAACATTTATTTTATTACAGTTGTAAGTATTACTCAGAAATACCTTGACAAACATTACTGAGCGGGCTCGCCTCTCCACAGATCTGTTAAAGAAGTAGTAAAATGGCTGACCTCCGAGCTCATTGGTCTCTGGTCATGGATATGAAACATCAGCTGTGTGTGCAAATACAAACACATGAACAGTGTTTCAAGAGGAAATGTGACTGATGCTCTGATGCTTCATCATCATCATCATCATCATCATCAGAGCAAAACGTAAACACTGATCACACTTTTGGTGCATCAGCTCCTAAACTCTGTTTATCTCACTTTATACGCAAACGGTAAACCATAGTTTTCCAGAATCTCCACTCTAGTCTGAGTTTTTAGAAAGATTTGTTTTCGGTAAATTAATTTATGTGTAAAAGCCTGGGTACAAATGAAGGGAAATGTCTTCTGTGTCTGTGTTTTTAAAAATATCTGTGTACATGTAAACAGGACCCACATTCCTACTCTCACCTATCATCATGAGCAAGATGGCGGATACAAGCAGCTGAAATGAGTTTCCTCCGCAGGGTGTCTGGGTGCTCCCTTAGAGATAGAGTGAGGAGCTCAGTCACACAGGAGGAGCTCGGAGTAGAGCCGCTACTCCTTCATCCTGCTCTTCCTCTTCCCAGGGAACGTCCCAGGAACTACTCCCTCCATGACACAGGCCCATATACACAGAAGAAGATGGATGGATGTTTTGTCAGCTGCTTGTCTCCATGGAGATGTTATTGCTTTGCCCTGAATGATCCACAGTACGGCATTGACTTTCTCCATCCTCCTGTTCTGAACGGACTTGCTGCGCCACAAATCAGAGCTGTAACTCGCCGTGAAACATTCAAGTCAAATCAGGGACATCTCCATGGAGACAAGTTGACGGCAGATCCTCGACCAGAAAAAGCCTCATGGTGCACCTTTAAGAAAGTGCCACCAAGACCATGAATCATAAACAACACCAGCAGCACACTCTAACACTAGTTTGAATATACGACTTCAGACTTTTATCTGTCTCCTCTGACCTGCTGCCTCCTCCTCCTCCTCCTCCTCCCCTTCCTCACAGGATTTAGAGGAGCTACAACACCCTGAGTAATATTGACTGCCAATAAGATTTTAACACCAGTGTGAAGTGACAGTTCATTCATTAAAAACAGCCAAGGGAAATGAGGACAAATACACGGTTCGACACTCACACACAGGCTGAACAATCCATGCAAAGTGAGCTCTCCTATAGGCTCCTGCTCTTTCCAAAATACCATCTGCCACATTTGCAATGAAAATGAACCAACACAATCTGAATCACTTAAAAATATGAGTAGCCATTATATCAACAAAGTGTGTTATGCAAACTGTTTTTGTGGGGTAAACAATAGACACAATATTAGTTTATCAGCACAGCAGATGCATATGCAGTCTGAGTGCTTAAAGCATCGCTGTCTGTGCTCCTAACATGAAGTTACAACAAAGTTATGACAGTAAATGAACATTAGTGAGCGGGATACATCTTAATGACTCATATGTGTTAAATTCAGGTGAGTGCATAAATGACGAGAAGAAATATGTCAAACTTCAGTAGCCGGACATCCACTCATACTTGATCGATACAGCTAGAGCCTGAAATCTACTGAAATCCTATAAGACAGTGACATGACTTTTTGACCTTTTAACCATGTCTAACTGTCCCATTAATCCAAGAATCCAAATGTTTCTTCTCAACACTCAAACACTCAAATGTTAATTATGAATTTTGTCAGGTTTGTTACATCACAGGTAAAAATCCGGACCTATCCTATACAATTTTTAAGTCTGCAAAATCTCACATTGTTTTAAAAATGAATGTATGGCCTAATTAGCATTGACAGACGAAAGGGTCTTTTGTTTGTTTACTTTGTTTACTTTGTCACTGTTCGTTCCTGTTGCTGACAGCAGAGGGCGCCTCATTGGAAACAGAGCGTTAGTTTATGAAGTATATTGTCACAATGCAGACATTATTTGAAGTTAGAAAATGTGAAATACTGATCTTGAGGTGACCAAAAGCATGTTTAAAAGAGAATTCAAGTCACGAGAATATAAAATGTGTTCCTTAAACTATATGAACAGCAGTTCCACATCGCCACAAGCGATTCTCCCATAATCATGTAAAAATGCACACTGCAAACATCCAGTATTCACCAGCATCAACCCCACATCCTCCACCCGCCCTTCACCCCTTCCCCCTCCGCTGGTCCTTACCGTCTTTCCGGTACAGGTCGATCTCCACCTTCCTCTCCTCGGAGCCCAGCAGAGCCTGGGCCATCTGAGCGATGGCGAGCCTCTGGTGCCGGGGCCGTACAGGAAGTTACAGGTGCAGGGCTTCTGCATGATCTCCCCCCGAGAGTATCCACACATGTGACAGAAGCCGTCATTACAGAAGATGATCGCACAGTTCTCCACTCGCGCGTTAGCTATCACAAACTTCCGACCTAAAACAGAGAGGAGAGAGGAGTGTTTAGAGAGATGAGTGAGTTCAAAACAAATAACTTCTATTAAAAAAAAGTTATACTGATTCATTGTACAACAGATCAAGTAGAAAATGACAGAATGACTCCCAGGGTGCACATAGGCACAGTTTGAAAATAAGATTTTTTTTTTTTTTCTTGTAATAGAAATGGCTCCATACACTTTTAAAACTGCAATGGCAGGTTCGTCTCATAATGGCATTTGATCATAGCACACAGCAGTATCTGCTCTAGTAACCCTCTGAATTGAGTTCCACGCATTTTGTCTGGAATGACTCTCACTGAACATGATGGGGACGCTCAAACTCAGAGCTGATTGGTTGAAGTGTCACAACAGTGGAACAAGACAAAAGAACATTTTCCAGCTGAGAGAAAAGCAGATATTTTTCCTCCGCAAACACACAAAGCACTTTCCTCTGTACATGTTTTCATATACCTGTAGAAGTTTGTATTTTTCGCTAAAATAGTCTGTTTTGGGTTCATCTGGGCACTTCACTTTGGCCCAAAATGTGCACGTGTAGGTGTATGTGTATGTCAAAGGACTTGTGAGAGCAAAAGTTAACCACTTTATCCTTTCATGGTTTGAAAATCAGATACAACCACTTAAAAGCTCATAAAAGTCCATCTGCATCATACGTCTCCTTTAAAACAGGTGAGACGTGAGACGTATGTCGATTTTACACAAATGATCTCCTCCTCTGGGCCTGTATGTGTGGTCCAGGGTCATAACCTCCTCCACAGAGTACTGCAGTAAAAGTACTTATGTGTAAGACCATTTTTGTTGAGTGTCACAACTTCTTAGAGCCAGAATGATGTCCAAAATACTGCAGTACACAATATGTCCAGTACACAGTGTGTAAATGTATACAGCAGAGCCTATTATGGAGTACACAGGGGATACATGCAGAGCACATGTACACATTCATGTAAAAATATGTGTAGTATATGTAGTACATGTGAGAAGGAGACAGGATCATGGTCTGATGGACGACAGCACTAAAAGTACCTCTGAGGGCATGTTTCCTTTAGGAGCACTCAGCGTTCATATGGATGTACAGAGGGGGGGTAGGGGGGGGGGGGCTTAGTGTTTGTGGGAGTAGTAAAAGTAGCAGTGGTTGTAGTACTGAATGAATATAATGGCATGGGGGTAGTAGTCATATTTGTTGTAGTAGTAAATAGTAGTAATAGACTCTCGTGATGGTAAATGTAGTAGTGGTGGCAGTTCTACTGACAAGAGTAGTTATAGTGGTATGTGTATTATGTTTAGTATGAGTACTAATAGTTGTAGTAGTAGTAGTAATAGTAGTAGCAGTAGTAGTTTTAATAGTAGGTGTAGTGAAGTATTAAACACTATGGGTGACGTCACTTTCATTTAGTCCACATCTGTGGTTTAAACCTAAAATATGTCTCTCTGATCTGAATAGTCTTTCCCTAAACCCCAACACCTGCAGCATCATGAGTCAGTGCTAGTGCAGCCTCTGCAGCTCAGGGAGGGAATTCTGGAGGTTGTGAGCTTCATATGAGGCCTGGTCTGTTCATAAACTGAGGAGAATAAGAAGATAATGAGAAGAACTCTGTCTGCAGGGTTAAAGTGTAAGAGCAAAAGAACCAAAAGAATCTTGCCGAATGCTGCAGGACTCGTATGGACATAAAAAAGAGAAATATTCCTCATCAGCAAAAGAGTTTGACATAAATTTTCTGTAATATCCATTGCTCTGATATCCACAGAACAGAAGTGCTAAATCGAATTTCATTGTGTCGGTATTTTACAGTGAACACAGAGGGAAATCATCCTGGAGAAGAGGAAGATGTGGAGCTCAGCAAAAAGTACAATGTGAAGTACTGTACAGAGACTTTCATTTGGTTTACTCCAGTCTGTATACAGACACACACACACGCACACACACACACACACACACACACACACACGAGATCACACTGGCTCACAGGGGAAGAGTTCAAAGTGCAGTAAAAACACAAGACTCAAGAGTGAACTCTGCAGGACATGTGTTTGTCTCGAGCCAAAGACAAAACTCTGACAGCATGAACAGACCAAACATCCACACACACACACACACACACACGCACGCACACACACACACACACACACGCATGCACGCACACACAGACACACACACAGACAGACACACACACACACACACACACTACTGCTCAGAGTGAGTGTGAGTGCAGCCTCAGGAAACAGCAACAGAGGCCTCTCTGAACAAGACTAGTATACTATACTATATACTATACACTATATACTATAGTATATAGTGTAGTATAATATAGCATAGTATATAGTACAGTAGAGTATATAGTATATAGTGTAGTATATAGTATAGCACAGGTAATTGGACATCTGAATGAAGTTGAAGTGGTTAGATTAGTAGTAAACAGAGGTGTGCAGACACTTCTGAACTCGACTGTGCACAGACTGACGGCTCAGAGACTTTTATCAGTGTAAACACTGTGAGCTCAAAATAACTTTGAAACTTAATAAAATATTTAGTGGAGCACTCTGACCACACACGAGGAACACTTCAAACACAGACAGGTTTCAAGAGTTTTTCTAAGAGAGAAAAGTCTTTAGAGTCATTTATACCTGTGGGCCTATGCTAATCACTAATGCTAATCTTTTATTAGCATTTACTGAACCTTTCTCTGCACAGAAGTCAAAGTGTGTTTTTAAATGTACTTCTGTACGTGCCCTGTGTTATTGTATAAATGTAAGAGCAGTTTGTGCACAGTTTCTTTGGAGGTGACATTGTTTACATTAGAGTAGAACCAATATGGCCGCCGGTGGTGTAAGGTCATGTGTCTGGAATGAACAGTTACATTTCAGTTTAGCTTTTGCACTCCCCCCCTTCCTCCCTTTGCTCCCCATACTAAGTTACTCTCCCTTCAGTGCGTTATCACAACATAATCAACCCACTAATAAAACGACAGCACATTGTATCGGGTTTGTGAAGTTGTGGTGTATTCTCTTGCTTTTGTATATTTAAGAAAAAACACTGCAGAGCTTCATGTGGGCGGAGCTTTGTACAGGATCTTACAGCTCCCCATAAGAAGGGTCCAAATATTGCGAGAGATCCCTACATTACTCAAACATATATGGATGACTTACAAAAGCTGTATTTTTGATGAGGAAACATTGTTCTAACATGGCAGAAAGCTCCAAAAAGTCCATACCTCTCTCCTGTTTTTTGCTCAGTGTAAAGCAGCTCCCTTATGAGGACGATAAATGATGTGGCCAGGTCTATATGTGGCCTGTGGGTTTGAATGCTGGTGTGTCCCATTACTTATGCACTACATCGCAGCATGTACACGACTATTTTTAACTCATGATTCATCTGAACATGGACTACAAACACTTCTGGACCTTGTTAAACTGCCTTCTGTTTGCATGATTTGGTTTTAGCTGTGTTCAGATCCACACTACGAGGCTTTTCTAGAGGAGGGATCTTGCACCTGCTTGTCGCCATGGAGAAGTTGCCTGTAAAGTTCCATAGTATGACCTTAAATGGATTCAACTACAAGCAGTGTTGGGAAGGTGACTTTTAAAATGTATTCCCCTACAGATTACAGATTACATACCCCAAAATGTAGTTTGTTAAGGAATCCATTAAATGACTTAAAGTGAGTAATGTAATCTGAATACTTTGGATTACTTGATTTGCTGAAGAGGAGCAAAGACGAGGAAATAGTAACATAAGATGTTTTGTCTGATAAAAGAAAATAAAAAGCCCAGACTTTACTGAACCAAATTAAAAATATTATTGATAGAAGACGAGGAGACACGGTCTGCGCGGCATGGTTTAGTCTTATTAAATCCTGTTTTAGTCCTGGTTTAGATCTAGTTTAGACCTAGATTAGATCTAGTTTAGACCTGGTTTAGTCCTGGTTTAGACCTGGTTTTAGACCTGTTTTAGATCTAGTTTAGATCTAGTTTAGACATGGTTTAGACCTGGTTTAGACCTGGTTTTAGACCTGGTTTAGACCTGTTTTAGACCTGGTTTAGATCTAATTTAGATCTAGTTTAGACCTGGTTTTAGTCCTGGTTTGTTCCTGGTTTAGACCTGGTTTTAGTCCTGGTTTAGACCTGTTTTAGTCCTGGTTTAGACCTGTTTTAGTCCTGGTTTAGATCTAGTTTAGACCTGGTTTAGACCTGGTTTTAGACCTGTTTTAGACCTGTTTTAGACCTATTTTAGACCTGGTTTAGACCTGGTTTAGATCTAGTTTAGACCTGGTTTTAGACCTGGTTTTAGACCTGGTTTAGATCTAGTTTAGACCTGGTTTTAGACCTGGTTTAGATTTAGTTTAGATCTAGTTTAGACCTGGTTTAGACCTGGTTTTAGACCTGGTTTAGATCTAATTTAGACCTGGTTTAGACCTGTTTTAGACCTGGTTTAGATCTAGTTTAGACCTGGTTTTAGTCCTGGTTTTAGTCCTGGTTTGGTCCTGGTTTAGACCTGGTTTTAGTCCTGGTTTAGACCTGTTTTTAGTCCTGGTTTAGACCTGTTTTTAGTCCTGGTTTAGATCTAGTTTAAACCTTGTTTAGTTTCCAGCAATGAGTGGAATTACAGAAAAAAAAAAAAAAAAAGGGGGGGGGGGGGCAGAATGTAAAAACTATACCGCCATGTAATTCATTTATTTCAACAAGGTAACTGTAATCCAATTCCCACTCACTGCAACAGTAACTGTAACTGAATACAGTTACTCATAAATAGTACTCTGATTACGTAACTCTGGTACATGTAATCTGTTACTCCCCAACACTGACTACACGTGTATTTATTGCTGTAACATACTTTGAACTAAATACATTCTTGATGGGAGTGGGGCCGCTTCTCTTCTCTTCTAACTTGTAAATATAGAGACACAAGTTTAACGTTATACTGTGGAACTTTCTACGCAAAGCAAATGACATCTCCATGGAAACGAGCAGCACCTTTTTAATGTTG